CAGGAGCTCTGTACTCTTGAGACAGATGATGATTCTTTGAGGGAAGTCAGATGATCCCTTTTGATGCACAACATGCCATTTGCAATGTTGTATGTTAGGTACAAAGACAGGAGACCTGCTTCTAAGGAGATGACATAACTTAATGAAGTATGACAGTTGTTTATTTGAGATAAAGCAATACGTAGTTTTAGATACTGCTTTTATAAAATTATCCATAAGCAACATCTGATTCTGACTTCCCCTGCAGGAAGATTTTAGACATTGTTTCTGGTTTTTTTAGTGCTACTAGAAAAGAATGACAGATGCATTTCAGTGACATGAAGGGAATCTTACTATAGCACTGATTTTTTTTTTTTTTAATAAAAATTGGTATTTCCCAGTTTGTTTTGATTTACGAAAGAGGAAATTTATATCTGACCTTGCAGAAAAGCACCTCGAGCTCTGATGCACATACCATACCGACTAGACTTTAAATGAACTTTCACACCTTTATTTTTCTCTTTCAGCAATGGTAAATTGTTGGCAGTTGTTCAAGACCAATGTGTAGAAATCAGGTAACTTAGTATGATCTATTGCTTCATGACCACAGTTGTGTAGTTCTGAGAAGGTGTTTCTAGTCAGTTACTAACCATACTTTTAAAGATTTTTATGGGTTTTGGGGGAATGTTATGTATTGTGAAAGTAATCTATGGAATAATCCCAAAATATATTATCAGTTAGAAAGCAGAAGCCTTCTATTTCTTCTTAGCTCTTGGCCATTCCCCATTTTAAAAAAAAAAACACACCCCCCCCCAAATATTAATGTTACAGATAAATTTATATAGGTATCGAGCTGTATCTCTCTCTCCCTCGCTCTTTTTTTTTTTTTCCCCCCAAGACATGAAAGATAAATGATTAAGATGCTTCAAAACATTAAACACAAATCATGGTCTTTTTAACCTTTGCCTTTCTGTTCCCCTTTAAAGTCATCATGAGAGAACAGAAATTCTCCCCTAATAAATGGGACAAGGAGCTAGTATTCTGCTTATCTGCAGAGTAGCTGGCATGTATGATACTTCACCTTATTTTACAAGTAATGTGGATTACTGAAAAGACTGATGCTTCCCTTTTTCTTCTGCTCTCTAACAAGCTCTTCTTTGCCAGTTCAAGAACACATTTAGCTGTAGAATGGATCTTGATTGAGTGTGTTTACTTGCTTCACAAAAATCCATTTGCTAGAAGGTCAGACCTTCTATTTATATGTAAAAGAAGCAAGTGTATGAAAATTGTTCAATCAGAAGTGGTGTGAACACCATAAATGTCAGCTTATAGACTATAAAATAGATCTTGTGTTTCAACTGTATTAATGTAACTATATTCTTGCATAGTTTCTAAAATTGTAACCTAGAGAATACTGACTAGTTTTTTTTTTTTTCTAAAGTTACATGCTGAAGTTCTGAAATGCTGCTATCCTATTTGGAACAGCATTGCTACTAAATGAGGGATGTTAGTATTTATGGATTGGGAGGAGGGTTTCTAAAATAATATTGTTAGTTCCTGTAGCTGCCTAAGGGTGAAGGCTACTATTTGCCTTTTTGAACAAGTAATCAATTGCAGGCCTTTGAATTGTGCACTTAGAGTATTTTTGTAGTGTTCTGTTTATTCTGGAAAATTGAATAGTGTTTCTTATTTAAATCCATATGAGTCTTTTTCTGCAGGTCTGCAAAAGATGACTTTGGATCCATAGTTGGAAAATGTCAAGGTATACAATATGGCAACCTCTACATCATTACTTAGTGTCGTCATTGTTTATTATTCATGCATTGCAAAGTGGTGGTGTCGGTTTACTTTAAAGATAACGTTGTAACTTCTTAAAAGCATTGGGAGGAATCTCTTAATAATTTTGCTTTGTGAATAGCTCCATTACCCTCCCTCCCCCCTCTTTTCATGCTGATTAACATATAAAACCTGACGCTGAAATGACATGATAGTTAAAATTACTATCATATACACACATAGCAGGTGTTGGAAGTGGTGAGTTTTTTTTCCTCCGAGATAAGCTTGTAATGATGGTAGGCACCACACAACTTTGATGCAGTTGACTTTGTGTTTTGTTTAAGGGATTATATTTATATTTCACTTTTTAATAAATTTCTTCCTTTTTCATAGTGCCAAAGGATCCTAACCCTCAGTGGAGGCGAGTGGCGTGGAGTCATGATTGTACGTTACTTGCTTATGCTGAAAGCACTGGAACAGTGAGAGTGTTTGACCTAATGGGTAGTGAGCTTTTGGTCATTTCACCGGTAAGTGCTCTCTCTGATTAAATATGAATATAGTAGAACTTTTTTTAAGGGTAAAAGGTAATTTCCACTTTTTGGCCTTTTTTAATAATGACTTACTTTGGTTTAAAGGCTTACAGTATGAATACCATGCACAAATGTACCATGAAGTGTTTATCATATGATGGATATATTATATCTTAAGTTTAAGTTATGCGTTAGTTTGCAAGGTAGCACATGCAAAGCATATACTTTGTGCTGTTGTATCTAGTCAGAAACTTCATCTTCCTTTTCTTTTTCTTAGAATTGTGGTAGATCTGCAGTATGTCAGATTGCGAAAGTATAGAATCACCTACTTAGTTTGTGTGTAAATAATTACAATTTGCAGTAGTAGATTACAAATCTGCACTTATAAATCCAGAAATATTGCTCAAAGAGCAGTATGAGGATTTTTTTTTTCTTGGTATGAGACTAGATAATTGCTGTTGGCTTGTCCCATACAATATATTTTATACTTTGTATATTCAAAGGTTGTATGAAACTAATTTGGGGAGGTGGCTCAAGTGTGTTTCCTTAGTATATTGTCTTGGCAGACCTTAAAGTAATGATTTCTTTAAAATCCAGAGAAAAAGTATATTTTGTTACTAATACAAACTATGAAACTTTATTTTTTTAAATACATTTTTATACAATATAGTAAATTTAACTTCCTAGTTCTTTCAGTAACCAAGACACTTTCTCCTCTTTTTTTTGTGTGTGTTTGTTTTTTGTTTTTCTTTAAATCCCCTTTCTCTCTCAATGTCTGTCTGCATTTTTGGGTAAAGACAGCAAGTTTTCCAGGAGATCTGAGTTATGCTATTGCTGGATTGATCTTTCTAGAATACAAAGCAAGTGCCCAGTGGTCAGCTGAACTGCTTGTCGTTAATTATCGTGGAGAACTGAGAAGTTATCTTGTAAGGTAAGCATAAGCTTTGAGAAGGCACTGTGAACTTCAGAGGAATTCTTTCCACTCTTTAAAGAAAATAAATCTGAAATAATATATGTATTTTTTTCCCCCCATACTTAGTGTTGGAACAAATCAAAGCTTTCAAGAAAGTCATAGTTTCAGCTTTAGCAGCCATTATGCCCATGGAATAACAACTGTCATTTATCATCCTGGTCACAGGTAAGTGTTCTGTCTGCTACCTGCCAATAATATGGAAATGATGAACAAAAGTGGCAAGATAAACATTCATGTGGGTTGCATAAGGAGGGAGAGAAGAAAAAATCTATTTTAATATTGGTATTTAGTGGATCAGTAATAACAAGTCATATATCATTGTACTTATGAAAGAAGCCCTAGTTGGTGGTCTCACTTTACTAATCAAATAATGAAAATCAAGTTGTGTCCTTTATTATATGAGTACCTTGCATAAGCAACATTTTTTTAGAATGTGAGGAATAGTTTCAAAAGATGTTTCTGAATTTGATGGGGGTAAGGACTGATGTATTATTTGTTTAGTTTTTTTCTGTCTGGATTTGATTGCTGGACTCATTGGCCAGCCCATTTTCCGTAGTGTTCTGACTGGAACTGCCAGGCTTTGGTATTTGGAGTTGTCTTGTGATGCTTTTTCTCTCTTAGTAATGCATTGGGTAGAGATACCAGACTTGAAAGATGGACCGATTGACTGCCTGCTCTTGAACCAGGTGTAGTTGGAATAGGTCCTGGTTAGCCAACTACTTATGTTAAAAATGTATTGACCTTTTTAATATCTACTTGTTATATAGCAAGGTAAACTCAGCAACTTCATTTTCTATTTCTCTTCAGCTGTAGGAACTAAACTTCCTTGTAGGCATTTTTCTTCTATTAGGTTTTACTAGGATTGCTTTTGTCAGCACAATATGTTGTATCACTGTATTGTTTTAAATGAAAATTAGGCTTGGCTATAGAATACCAGAAGAAACTCACTCAGTGTTAAGCGAGCTGTTCTGTCTGTCTTAGAAAAAAATGGTTATTAATGAGAAGTAATGTTCTTCTAGCTTATTACTTCGAGAGATTAATCTTTAGTATGGTTTCTTATTTCTACCTAGTTCATATCTAGTAATTCCACATAATTAATGCTCAGTATACTAAATATAGAGTTTTGAGGTAATAGGTGTGGGTTATGGAGTTTTGGTAGTGCTATGTGACCAGATAACAGAACCTACTCCTTCTTTCCTTTGATCAGACCAGGTTTAATGGTTCTTGACACTAGTTTCCAAAGTTAGCTTTTCTGCTCCGAATATTAGGAAGGAGATTGATTATAACAGTGAGTGTTGCAAAGAATGTTGGTTAATATTCAAAGTATGGTCAAATAATTATTCTCACAATTATACTAGATGGATGTGCTTGCTTTTCATGTCTGATGCATTTCTGAGCAAATGATGTCAGAACTGTTAAACTCTTATAATGGATGAACCCATTAACAAGAAAATACGTAGAAAATCAGCTGGCATAGTTGTCAACCAAATAGTATGGATGTTGCTTTGTGTGTGCTAATGAGAACTTACTGCCATAGAGGTTTAAAAGAGGTGGCGGGAGAAAGGTAAAAATAGCAAGTTTTGTTTTCCTTCTTTCCTCCCACCTCCAAGAGAAGTAATTGCTTAATAGTTTTGGTTTTGCTACTATTCTTATAAGATCTTAGGTTAACGTTTTTAAAACTTAATATTAGTGTGTAGTAAAAGAGCAAGAGACAGTGCTGGTTTTGTGCTTAGAACAGTTTATTTAGAATATTAGTAATTAAAGTGATTTTTTATGGAAGCTTATGGCTGGCATAATTTTTTTGTTGTTGTCTGTATTGCATATTTTCTAGGGAGAGAAATGCCCTTTCCTTATGTGAAAAGATGTGGTTATATCTGCTGGTGAAGAAATATGTTTGCATAACGTGTGTGGCATTCACATTCAGGAATTTCTTGGTTTTGCCATGAGATACTGTGACTTCTTCCAAGAAAAGAAAAATATTCAGGTGGAGCCCCCTGTGATCATAGTATCTCCTGCTACGTGCAGTCAGTTGACTTGCTTAGTAAAGGTGAAAAGTTTATATTTGAAAGAACGCACAGTTGGGTGGAATGGATGGAAAGCAGAGAACACTGATGTTTTGCGCTCTATGTAGGCAAGGCTTTTCTCTTCTGTTTTGAATTTACTCTGTGGTAGAAAACTTTGACATTAGAGAACTCCAAATTCATGAGCAGAATCTCTTGCTGAAATTGTGTTTTTATCCAAAAAAAACCCAGAAGGAGTTGAAGGGAGACAGTTTTCTTAAATTGTGCATTAAAGAAAATTGTAGGTGCATATGAATGCTTCAAAGTTTTCATTTTCAAGAATGTGAACTTTGGTCACTTAACCTAAGTTCAACTTTGTCACTGTGTGCTTTCTTGCATTTCATTTCGTTTCAGATGGTGAAGTTACACTGGTCTATTTCCACTGCTTGTAAGCCTTGCCTTGTTGCACTCTATATTGCTATGTATTTGCTCATTACCTATTACAGTGCAATTAAATTGTGCTTAAGAACTTAATAAGCTTTATTTTTTCAACTAGGTGTATGATAATTGCAAACAGAATATTTCAGTAGGGAATGTATCTGAATCTGTAAGAAAACTTGAAACAATAGCTTTGGGAAAAAGTCTGATAATGAGTTTCACTGCTGTTGAAAAGTGTTAAATACCTTAATTTAGATGCCTAATGTTGATGTTATCATGTGATCCAGGCTTCATCTATGATGGAGTTTATGGTGCACTTTAGTTGACAAAACTTAAAAGTCTGCTTCAGTGTGAGCTCTCTGTAGGCTCTAATGGAAGGTTCAACACCTTGCTTATTTTGAGCATCTTACTCTGGAGCTGAATGTCTTTCTTCAGGGTTATCTGCAGTTGCTACAGAAAGTGTTTGATACTAGAGCCTAAAATGTGTGATGGCTATAGGGGATGAAGGGTTTTAGATTCAGTTGGAATTTGCTAGTTGTACCAAGATTGGTGAGTGAAGAATTGCGTGGAAGCCGCAAGTTTTTCTTGGATGCCTTAATTGAACTTGCTGTTCTTGAGACTGGTATTCCACTAGTTATCTTCAGCCCAACTTTGTAGAAACCTTTGAAACAGAGTACAATTGAGGTACTGCAAGGGCAGCCACTTTTTTGAGACTGAAGGAACCTCTGGAGATCTAATCCATTCCCCTTCACAGCAGGGTCAACTAGGGCAGGTTGCTTGGAGCCATGTCCCTGCAATCCAAGACCTGCACGTCCCTATCCTCCCTTAGGAGCGTGGTCTGGGTCAAGGTCTCTGTGATGTTCTGGGGTAGTTGTTCCAGTGGGTACTGGGGACTGAGCCTGGCGGTGCGTGACTGCAATTGCTGAGAACACGTACAGAGAGTTTCTGGCCATCATTTTCTGCAAGCTGCTGCACAAAATGCGTCATCTGTTGGCTGTGTTCTAGGCCTGGCACTTACATAGATCTTTTTCTAGGACTTGTTGAAAGGGTTCCTGATCCTTATGAATCAGGAGTCAGCTGGAACAAAAGCTCAAAGTGCCCTTTGAATCAGGAACAGCTGGCAGACCTTGTTAAAAGCTTCTAGAGCTTGCTAGCTAGCTAGCTCTTCCTGGCAATGGCAGGCATCGTGAAGTTCCTCAGAGGCTTCCCAGGAGTCCTCTGATGATCCCAGAAGTATGTAGAAGATTAAGAGAATCTAGTAATGGAGCTCAGAAACTGCTGCACGAACTGCTGCATGCTAGCTGTGCTGTGCGTAGAACACACATGCAAGAATAAAAATTATTTAAGATTTTAACATTTTAAGAACTGTTGCATTGATCTTGATGTCTATAACAGCGTGATAAACGAATCTTTGCCTTCTAGGGAGTTACTATTATGTGTCATATATTAAGTTAACATTGCTTTGTGACCCATCCGGAGTGGCATAAAACTACAGCTGATATGGTTTGATTTAAGAACCCAAGTATTTGGCCAGAAAAAGAAGTTTTTCAGACTGAGACTAACTTAAAAAAAAAAAGTAGTAAACAAGAAAAAAACCCTCTCCTGTTGCTGTTCCCAGTCTACCTGTCAACTTGTTATTTTGGAGTCATCTCCTGTCTAGTCCTGAAAAAATAATTGGTAAACAAGGGCAGCTCTTTGCTGAGGCTCTCAGGAGTACCTTTCATTTTCTTTTGATGCCAGTTGTGTTATTCATCAGAAATTATTTTCTGTCCCTGCTGTTGCATTTTGCTCTCTGAAAAGCTTTTTACAATTTTAAGTACGTGCCGCCATGATGAATTTCTCTGCAGTCCTGGGAGGAGGCTTTTTGTCTTGAGGTTGTGTGTTTTGTGTGTGTCTAAATTGATATGACATCTTCATTCCACCTGTCATTGAGTTTCATTTATCCTAAAAGATGCTTCTGAATTATAAATATGTTGCACTGTATGTGACAGTTTTTCCAGAATTTCTTTGAAAAGATTTATCTTGATGGAGTTTTTGAGAGCTCGTTCAGGCAGTTTTGGAGCTACTGCTGTCACTATTATTGACAATTCTTCTCTTGGTCTTTGTGCTACTATTTGTCTCTCAGTCACCTCTGGCACAGTGCGGTCAATTGTAATTGAGCTCTAGTCACTGCTGCTGTTGAAATTTTTAATTCAGTGGCATGATGCACTGGAAGCTGGAGTTTATGGAAGAATTTAGGTTCCTATGGATGGACAAGACTATAGATAAATAAATCTTCCAGAAGATTATGCCTGCTGTCTCCTGGTTATTAGGAATTGACAGGTGTGTTGTAACGATTTCATGAACTTCTTGTTTACTGATTTTTTTTTTTTAATTTTTTTTTAATGCTTTCATCATGGTCAGGCTGTGAAAGAGACACATGCGAAACTTGCCTTTTGTCCTAAAAAAAAAGTTAAGAAATTCATCACTTCATGTGTGATGATGGACCTTGCCAACATCTTTCAGAGTTTTAAGATGTGATTACGTGTTCACTGATGATAGATTGTGTGCTCAGATGCGAGTACCCTAACGTGTTTATTCTTGACTAGCTAAAATGGACGTAAATCGCATCATGTACAGCAGGGTAGATAAGTATTTTGCTTATCCTGTGAACAGTAAAACCTGTTTGAGCTGTTTGGAATTTCATGCGGCGTGCTATGTCTCTGCTGAAAGTTCATTTGTTTGGTA